AGCTTTGATGTATTGGATTCGATTCTTCAGTACCTCGATAGTTTTTGCGGCGTGAACAGAGAACTGACCTCTGCGGTTAATCCATATACCTAACAGCCGAGCGGTGTTAACTTCTGGGATACTTTCATCTTCGATTTTGATATCTAGACGTGCATTACGCCATCTGTGTCTAGCTTTCTGACAGATGTGAAGAATGCACGATTTAGGGGCCGATAATGAAAATTTAACACTTTTAGCCCGTGTATCAACGGCTTCCACGGCGTTTTTTAGTGCTCTGCGAACTCTTGGGAGGTGTTTTGCTATCAGTATTATATCATCTGCATAGACAAGTGCACGCACATTCCGAGAGATAACATTGAAAACTGGGTTAATCGCAAGTAGAAACAGAGTCACAGCGAGGACTGAGCCTTGGGGGACCCCATTATCCACAGTTCGTTCGGTTAAGGTGATTTCGCCGTAGTTGACACGAAAACTCCGGGCTCGAAGCAAGTCAGCTATACACTTTCACATTCGATGTCCAATATTTAAGTTGTCAACTTAGTTCAGAATATTGGGTCGCCAGGTTTGGTCATATGCCTTCTTGATGTCAAGAATAGCCAATTCAGTATGAGCTCCTGATCGTTCAGCTTCCGTTAAAATTTCTTTGAGATTGGCAAAATAAAAGGAAGTTCCAGACCAGCTCTAAAGGCTTGTTGATTAGGATGTAATACATCGTTTTCCTCTAGGAACGTCATAAGCCTACGATTAACCATACGTTCATAAATTTTTCCAATACAACTAAGCAACGTTATGGGGCGGTATCTTTCGGCGCGCTGATGGTCCCCTCCAGGTTTGGGGATGGGTACTACGATTCCTTCTTTCCAACTGCTTGGGAATCTTCCTTCCACCCAAATTACATTGTAGCTTCGGAGCATCGCTATCTTACCAGCAATTGGAAGATGCTTGATCATATCGTTACCAGTGGCATGTCCTTTGGCGACATCGATAGCTCGAAGGAGCTCTTGTATGGTAAAATCTTGATTAAGAGATTATTCTTCTTGTGTTCCTTTGGGTATTGTAGTGCTTCCTGACGTGATTGTGGAGCTGTTAGACGATTCACTGTTGTTGATAGATGCCGTATGGAAATAGTCAGCAAAATGCTCGCCAATTTGCGTAGGTTCCTGGATATGTTTTCCTTCGATTGTTAGACCACGTAGTCTGGTTTTTCTTTTCCCATTCAGTCGATGGAAATTGCTCCAAAGAATATCCGCAGGGGTGCTAGGATTAAATGACTCGCAGAATTTATTCCAGGATTCCTCTTTTGCTCGTGAAATAGCCTTCCTTGTTGCGGTGCGTGCTTCTTGAAAAACTTTCCGGGCGGTTTCCTTCTGTGGGTCACCAGTGCTTTTCGACGAGATTTCACCATTCTTTTGACTTCTTCTGTCCACCAAATTTCAGCCTTGGGAACTGGGAACTGCTTCTCCTTGCGTTCTCTTGCGTTCGAACATAGGCCAATCCGCGTCCTTATACAACCATCGTTTGCGACATTGGAGCTGCGTAGAATCTGCCTGATAACAAACATGGATAGGAAAGTGATCACTTTCATAGGTGTATTTCTTGATAGACCAGCATAATTTACAGGCAATACATTGAGAGGCAACAGAGAGGTCTATAGCAGAGGAACTTCCGTGAGCAGAGCTGATGAAAGTTGGATCTCCATTGTTTAGGACGACAAGTTGATGATTAACCATCCATTCCAGTAGTAGCCATCCTCGCCGGGATGAATTGGAACTCTCAAGCCTCATGAGCTGCATTAAAATCTCCTCCGATAATGAAAGGAGGCGCACATTCTGCAACGAGTTTGTTGAGCGTGTCGATTATTCTTCGGTCTTCGGTGTGTGGTGGTATGTATATAGAAGCTACGGTGACACTGCACGGCTCACTCAATCGAGCAGCACATAAAGGGATGTCTGAGTTAACTTGGTAAAACTGGTGAGGATCTTCTTTGATGATCCCCATACCAGCAGCACCTGCTCCTTGACAGTAGTGGCGGTCGGCGAGCATCCAATCGTATCGGTCTTTTAGAATTTTACTGGAGCGTTTCGTCATCATTTCTTGCAGTCCTATAGCTATTGGTTGTTCGTGAAGCGTTAGATGGGATAGTTCAGCATGATTACACCAGACGCCTCGGATGTTCCATTGTAGATATAATGATCTTTTTTTGGTGTCGATCCTATTTGTACTTTCGTTGGTAATTGTCCTGTCACTTGGGGAAGTTTCATGATTGCTGGGCCTTTGGATTTCTGGAAATTGTGATCGGCAAGCAAGATGATTTTGGCTGATGGGAAACGAAGATAGGATGGTACTTGCCCGGGATGATCTAGCATCCATATCGACTGCCGCCAGAGGCTCTTCGGATAGATCCGGAACATCCCTGGTTAGGGTCGACATGGAAGGCCTCGCACTTGGCACATGTTTATAGCGAGGTCGTTCGTAGAGTTTGTCGAAAAATTTTCTTCGAGAGCTTTTTGATCCATCATTCATCGATATTTGAGATAGCACTGTCAGGTTGAGTTGAGAATCGTTTACCTCGATTGTTATCGGTATCGGTTGGCGATATCTCCATGTGCCGTTTACTGCTCTTACTTCTAGTTCGAATGTCGTACTTGTTTGTGTTATTCTGGTTTCTGTTCTGGTTATTTCTCCAGTTGTCGGGTGGAGATATGAGTGACTTGTCTTTTTGGGATAAGCGGTTTTTTGGTGAGGCTGGTTTAGTGGATGTGGTGATTGAGGTCTGTGCTGGTGTTTGGTTTGGAGACGGAGATGGTTTGTTGACTTGTGGAGCTGGAGACTGACTTTGAGCCCTTGTTTTCAGTAGCTTTTTTAATGTGGATAGTTCCTTGGCTAGAGTAGCTACCTGTTTCTGTAGCGTAGCTATCAACTGGTCTTTGGTAGCCAGCTCTTGGTTGATACGTTCTTGAACTACTTTGACAAAGATGTCCTTTTTATTTTCTTCAGCAAAGATTCGTCTCGCTTCAGGAAAGGAAATTCCCTGGTCAACCTTGATACTATTTTTTCCTCAATTTTGTATTTTGGACACTCCCGCGACGTAACCGCATGGCCATTCTTGCAGTGAAAGCAATAATGCGGGTTGCTGCATTGTTCCCCTTCGGCTATGTTATGTAGCTTCGAGCATTGTAGACAAATCCCACATTGTTGGCATGATTTTCTTGAATGTCCATAAACACCACAATTATAACATATCATAGGGGATGGGTAGTAGGTTCGTACCGGCATACGTAATACGCCAAAATAGACGTACTTTGGCAAGTGCGTACCACGGAACGATAACACTAGTAATGGCGTATTCTTTAGAATACCGTTTACTCTCTTCCTGATTCTTCGGACGGTGTGTATGCCTTTAGAGCTTAAATACCCCTCGATTTCTTTTTCTTCTATGTTGATAGAGTCCGGGTCGTATACGGTTCCTTGTACCGTGTTGAGGGTGGGATGGGCGATGATTTCAACTTCAGTTCAATCGGTAAGCTTCGTCATTTTCGTCAATTTGTCGAATATAGTTTTGGAGTTGGTACGAAGAAGGTAGCGTGATCCACGTGCTTCACGAGTGGCCTTCACAGTCCTGGCTTCTTTTTTACCTACAGCCAGTTCGATTGATATTCCGACAATAAATGGATTGGGAAGGGCATCTTCTTGTCTGCGACTATCATTATTGACGTCTGTTCCTCCATTGTCATTCTTTCGACGTAGCAATAACACCATAGTACTCATTACGTCCGGTTTTCGCATCCCTTCAGGAGTTGTATTATCCCCTGGCGGCCCATCCTTGGACCCCCCGGGGGTGAAGAACAGCTTCCGGTCATTAGACCGGAGCTAAAAGCTATTCCCACTAAACCACTTTGTTTTTAAAAGTTCGCGTTGACCGATTTTAGTTCACGATTATTACGCACTTCTGCTCGGGGTATGTACTATAGCCCGTGTTATCAATACAGTGTTTGTGTTGGTGATATTTTAGATCACAGCACTACCGCGTGATATAATCACTATTGGTTTTCACTTTTAGACGACTATAGTGAACAATTCCACGTTAATTTAACTTTGTTGGAGATCACCTCGACAACAGCTTCAACGTGAGCACTGAACGTGGTTTTTTGTGTATGTTTGAACACTAGAAATCCGATTCAATGTAGAGCGACACGCGCGTGTTGTATAACAACAGTATCCCGATTACTCGAATGAATTGGCAAGCGATTTGACGTGTTGCATGGGGGTTATGGTTAATTTTTTTATCATGAGTTATGAATTTTCAAAGTACGTGAAGTCCGGGAAAATGCGAAAACTTCAGCTTAAATTTTCCGGAAAACTAACCACCCTGTATTTTTTTTTTCAATTTTGTTCCGTTCATATAATCGATACAAATTTCATAAAATTCAGAGACCCTTCGGCACACACATGTCCGATAGTTAAAAAAATCCCCTTATATCAAAATATTGTTTATGTTTGTTGCCAAGAGTCAGCTAAGATGTTATTTTTAATAAGTATTGTATGGAGTGAGTGTATTCGCTAAAATATAAACTTTTGAGTTCAACGTTCTATTTTGCGTTTCCGTTTGTCGCCACTGTAAACACTGATAAGAGTGTTGCACTTCATTTGTTCAGGCTAATAAAGAGTCAGCACTAGGGTGGGTCAACTTCACCGCAGCTACTGTGCACAATTTGAACCAATTGGTTATCATCTCAATTTGCGAGAGAATGCTATACAAAACAACTTTGTCGAAGACTGCAAATCGATTTATTCTTCGTACAAACAGTTACTTATCTTTCATTTTAGACCAAGTATTCCACACGTACCTACAAGCTTCTCAGAAGTCTATTCGAATTGCAGGTTTTGACAAAGTTGTTCTGCATAGTATTCCCAATATTTGAACTCAACAAATATTTAAAATTCTCCCACGAATCCAAATCGAAACCAAATTCGGTAAAAATTGGCACCGTTGTTGGGGATCTCAATACACATCGGAAGAGCAGTGGGGAACAGAGGATTGTGATCCACAATTCAAGCTTGAAACACCCTAGTGAGCACTCTTTATATTTATACTCCAAGATTAAACACAAACTTTTGCTATCTGCTTACTATCCAAAGAAAATTAGAATCCGTGTGTAGACCAATACGATCTCATCATTTGCTTTCAGCTTGCTCTCATTTAGCAACTGTTCTTCTCTCAGACTTTTCTCGAATAATTGTCGTCTCACTTCCCGTAGATCTCCACCGTAAAATTGAACCCGAGATTTGGCCGGGAGGTGAGCTTCAGCGTGGCATGGCTTTGATTGTCTCCACCGGAAACCAGCGCCGCAAAGCCACCCAAACCGTTGCGGACATTATCCCGGGCCAGGATGTAGGTCACGTTCGGTGGCCGTGCCGTTCCCACCTACAATACAGGGAGGGATAATTCAATATGAAGTTAACGGGCACGTGCGGGTTTGTTTTGTTTTCCTCCAATGGGGACTCACCGGTGGCAGATACTGGAAGACGGTGCTTTTGATGGGAACCGGAAGCGAATTGTTGACAACGGTGCTGTAGTTCAGCAGGCGATCTCCGGTGACGCGGCGTCCCCATTGGTTGCTTTCGGCGTAGATCAGAGCTCCAAAGGTGAGCAGCAGCAGCAGTCCGGAGGTGGTGGGAATCGGTCTCATCGTGATAGGAGGAGACTTGTGAATGAATGAATCTTGAAAATTGCGAATGAGCTCAGACACTCTAACCGGACGGTATTTATTGCCGGATTGGTTGTCAAGTGGATGCACTTCAATGATAAGAATTACATGTTTGCTGCATTGTGTGATTCACTTATTCAAAATCAACACTCAGCCCACATTTATGGACTATTCAACGCACACATCAATCCAACCTCCAAGCATAATTTTCAAATGGCATCCTTCTTCGTAAATAGTACCAACGCGAAATCTACCCAACCACCTCTGTTTCCCTTGAGTTCGATTCATAAAATAAAAACAGCGTTCTATAAATACTTTGGTCGGCATTAAATAAATAAGACCTTCGCTCGAGAACATCCCCCTTCCATTACCTAAAACCTTCTTCCACGGATCGTTGAACAGGTTAAGAGCCTCGGTTTCACCCGTTCAAGGACGACCGACGATTTCGACAGACGCCCATTCATTCTTCCGAAAACTTTAGCGCAGCAAAATCAGCTTCGACCGAAACGGGCTTCACTTTCATCTTCTCTGCTAGCTTAGATTTAAGAAGACACTCGACTCGACGAAAATAAAAAAGCACTCCAAACCCCCGACACTCGTTTCAATATCATTTGCTTTCCCATTCCCAGCACACATTTTCCAGATGCATTCGCCCAGAACATATATCCACCCGACTCGTCCCACAATAAGCATATGACTATCGCAAATATTTGACAATAATTCCATGCCATCTCGAGCCGGAAAGCTGCTTTTGAAAATATTCGCCCCCTCCCTCGCCCAAAACCTTTTGTCTTATTGAACCGGATCCAAAACCATTTCCCCGTGCCACCCAACGCCCATTCCGGAGCATATGTGTATGTACCAACTTGTAGCTACAAATTCTTCGGAGTGCTGCTGCTCGAGAGGAGGACGACGTGAGTGCTCTTGAAAACCGAAGCCAAGTTCAGTTCTGGCGCGGCAGCATTTATCAGTCCTATGATGATTGCCAACTCTTGTCTGTCTGTGAAGATAGACCGGCTGACAAACAGGCGGACGGACCCACGGACAGCAGTATCAATGTCAGTGACGAGTCTCTGTTTCAAGTCGGTTGGCGGAATTGATATGTAGGCAAGTGGCGCTCGAAGGCGGGACGGGGCGAGAATTTAATATTATCGTAATCATCATTAGCATAATCTATGGCGGAGGGTGATTTACATTTTAAATAAGGCATTCGTATGGTTACGATTCTTCTTTTCCGTCGTGTGAATTTGCCTAATTTATGTCAGTTATTTAGGCAAGATTGGTGAATTAAAACAATGTTTGGACCGATTACCAAATGGAAGAAAAAAAAGCAGAAAGCAATTACAGTGCCATGAAGATGGAAAACAACAGACTACAGTGAACGTTCTACAACTCGAAATTGCAGGGACTATCGAGTTGTAGAATTAACAACAATTAACTGCGCGTTCTATATGGGGTGCACTTTGTGAAAACCGAAAATGGAACCTGTAACGAAATTAAGAAAGATTTTGAACGCTAATAACTCAGCTGCCCCTGGACCACTTGCAATAATTTTATCACCAAACAATCAGAAATATTTATACCTTTCGATAGCAGTGCTTTCAATTGTTAATTTTCAACAAAAAACTATTGAAAAAGTTGTAAATGTCAAGCATTGTCCAAAAACGTCGTAATAACTAACAAATCTACCAATTACGTACATGCATATGTTGCTTCCCCAACACAGTCATCAGAAAATTGTTTCTAGATGAAACATGTCGAAGTGGCGTTCTTCTTCTTCTTCTTCTTCGCATTTCAAGCTTATTGCATATCGCATATTAGCTTATAGCGTGCTCTCAACCTAATGTTCTAGATGCACTTCCACAGTTATTAATTGAGAGCTTTCGATGCCTGTACCATTTTTGCATTGGTATACCGTGGGGGACCGAAATCCGTACAGCATCGAAATCCGTACACCTCATACAAAAAGTAGGCGTTTTGTATGAAATGTACGGATTTTGATTCATTTCTTAGGTGTACGGATTTCGGTTCGCCACGGTAATTGTGTGGCAAGTCCAATCATACTTCTATGCCCAGGGAAGTCGAGAAATTTTCCAACCCGAAAAATTCCTAGACCGGACCGGGAATTGAACCCAGCCACGTCCAGCATGGTCTTGCTTTGTAGCTGCGCCTTTACCGACTGAGCTAAGGGAGGCCCCGGCGTTCGTCTCCGCTATATTCAGAACCACATGCCCCCAACGACCACAAAAAATGCTCTCCAGAGCTGTAATCTTGTAACCAAACTTGGAAGCACCCCTTGCAAGTAATTTTTAAAGATTCTCTTCATCGCCTTTATGTTTCGTTAATAACTCGACGGCAAACACATTCATTGATACGTTTGCGAGAACTGACTTTCACCCCTCTGCTTGTAAGCCCCTTAATTCAGTCGTCGTCATAGCAATGAAAACGGGCGTCGCACCGCTTTTGGGTCGTGGGTTACACTTGCTGGTTGCAATTCTGCTGTTCGACATTTTCGAAGGACCACCAAAAAGCATGAAATTACACTATTTTCGCGGGATGCCTTAAAGTCCAATTATACGATTAACGATTAATCGTAAAGATTTTGCCGTAAAGATCGAATTTTCAACTATTCGAACGCGTAACCGACATCCCTTCTTATTTCTAATCGTTTGATTTAGCGCAGAAGTGAAAACAATTAAAAGTAGTCATTTATCTAAACAGACATAGAGAAGAACCATGACGTGAAACAGGATCATAAATTCACCGAAAAAAGTGTTGAGCATCTTTCTGCTAAAGGCTAAGATTTACCAACTTGTTGAGAGAAGGAGAAAAACTTAAAAGGGGAGGAGTTTAAGCTGGGTGGACACTGATATTCTACCGGCTACCGGCACAGCAGATGAAGTGCATGATAAAATACCCAAAATGGGTGGTGCATGATGTTCTAGCTTTCGAAAAATGATTGATTTTCATGTCCGATTGACAAACGACAAAACCGTAAAAAGAGGAGGAACTTCAGCTGATATGCCCTAAATTGTTGCTTTCGTCCAATCAGTAACTGACCGAAGCTCCTCCCATTTGGTAGTGATGTTAGCATCTAGTGTTTCGTTCGATGTCCAGTACCGTATTATTTAGTGAATCGCTTTACAGGCTTTCCCTGTAGTATCATTACATCGCTCAAGTGAATCACATTTCATCGTCATTATCATCTTCAAAATTTTAAAGACGACAACTATAACTCGCCGTTCGAGAGAAAGCCGTGCTCCTGTCAATTCTAGTTCCTGCATTTTGATGCCTCTGTTATGGAGTCTTTTGTGGACACCCGTTCGAGAGGAAGCTCGTTCCTGCAATTGCAATTGCTGCTCTAATAAAGGCTTTTGTGTACGACCAGAAGCAGAAGATCAGCCGAACTCACCGGAGAAAGCGTAGAAACAGCAAACTATTCATGGACCAGAAAATTCGGGTACTTGGTAACAAACTGTTTGTTACCTACAGCGTGCCGCTCATTTTTGCTCACCTGCCACATCTGAACCGGTTGAATCTCTGATTGAATTTACACAAATGGCCCTTTTCAGGGCCACCAATTTATTTTCAAGAGAGAGGTTGATAGGACTACTCAGTGTTGGTTCAATCGACCGAGTAACTCGACTTGCTTCAAAATATGATCGATGTTTCAGAAATTCGAAGCTAGAAACCACCTATTTATAATGATAATACTTACTGACCGCAAAATGACAAATATTTTCTACGGTGACCACAAGAAAAGCAGCAGTGGAAGAGGATGCTGATCGCCATGGACTGTTCAGAGGTAGGAAGGTTATTCCTACATATCTTCGTACATTTACACGCTTATTCTGGTCAGCTCAAAATTGAGTCCAATGTAACTCATCTCAGCGGCAAGTAGGGTTACTCAAAATTGAGTAGCCTTATGTTGACTCACTTTTGAGTAAACGACGTTCTCACGTAGACTGAGTCAAATCCACTCGGCGGTATTTTCAGTTGCGGGGAGGGTTTTAGTTTTGATTGTTATTCAAGGAAATGGGAATTGCTTGCTCCGGATTCATTCTATCGGAGCAGAAAATGGTTCAACACCGATTCCCTAAGCAATTCGTACTTACCTGAAGGCATTTTAGCCGGTTTTGAGTAACATTTCCTATGAGGTTTCCTCCGACATGACTGGCATTTTTTCCAAGTCCAACATTTTGCTGACTCAGTTTGACATTTTTCGTTTACTCAATTTTGACAACTCAATACATCGGACGAAAGTTAGTACGATCGACCGACCTGGTGAGTAAGAAGAAGATAAAAGTGCCACCTAGAGGTGGAAAGTACAAGTTATTTTGAGGCTAGTCATTTTTTAGTCGAAAATCACTCAGTTAAGCCAAAAGGGAAGTTATTCAAAAATAAGTAAACATGATTTTACTCAAATATGAGTATACGTGCCTATTGAGGAAACTGGGTAACGGTTACATGTTCAGTCGAAACAGGAAGAACTGCGCGAGCGCATTGTACAAGACTTTCAAGCGAACGAAGATCGTGGAAAAAAGTACACGGTGGACCATTTTAAGAAGGGAAATGTTCAGGTATCCACCGTATACCGTATCCTGGCATCCATGGCAGTAATCCGGAAGAGAGCTAGTGGCCGTCCAACGATGATAATGAATAAGAAGACGCTCCGCTCGGCTGCACAACATGTTCAACAACAAGAATTCGGAAAGTCAACGGGGAGCGGCCGTTGTTCGAAGTCACACATCTGCAAGACTCTAAAGAAGAAAGGAATAGTGTGTAGAAAGAAAACCAGACCCCAAGAGTACACTGACGATCAAACCACTAGATGACTCGGAAGTATGGCGGAAGTCCAAAATATACCATATGTGCCAAAAGACCGGAATCCAACAAATCTGCCGCAGTGCCGACCTATCGAGGCTTTTTTCGGTCTATTGAGCTCCATGGTATACAAGGATAATTGGAAGGCCAAGGACAGCAAGCAACTCACCAACAGGATCAA